TTTTTTTTTTTAATGTTTATTTGTTCTTGAGAGAGAGACAGAGTGCAAGCAGGGGAGGGGCAGAGAGAGAGAGAGAGGGAGACACAGAATCTGAAGCAGACTCCAGGCTCTGAGCTGTTGGCACAGGGCAGAGAACCCAACGTGGGGCTTGAACTCACAAACCGTGAGATCATGACCTGAACCAAAGTCGGACACTCAACCGACTGAGCCACCCAGGCGCCTCAAGGTTGTTTATATTTACATGTGCTCCTTAATTTTGACCATATTTTCTTTATTTTTCCATTCTGTTTGGTAAAAACTAATATATAATTTAAAATCGATTTTTTTATTCTACTGAAGGTGGTGATTTTCTCATGCTTATTCACTACTTATTGACTAATGTTTCTTACTGATTTTTATGTTTTTCTCTTATTTTCTTTTTTTATTTGAATGTGCTCTTTTTGTATTAAGGTTATCAGCACTACAAGAACATGAATGGTTTATTTGCTTAACTAAATCATAGGCATTTGCTTTTCTTGGTATTGTTTGTTATATAACATTTAAATTGCATAAACTTGAAAGTTAGTACATTTTTAAACATTCCATATCCAGTAGACTTGTTATTCAAGTTCATTTTTAAACAACTTTTGTGTACTATTATCTAAAAAATGCCCTATATGTCTTTATTATGAAAAAATATAAGCTGAAATAAATTTGATAACATTACTTGTTTTAAATGAGAAATAGAAGACTAATAGACATTATTCTGTGACCAGTTTTATTAATTCTTCACTGATTTAATGAAACCTATTTTATTTTTTTTCTGCTAATAGCTACAAGTGTATTCATCAGAGTTTGGAGGATAATAATAGATGTCCCAAGTGTAACTATGTTGTGGATAATATTGACCATCTGTATCCTAATTTCTTGGGTGAGTCTCTGGAATGATTCTTTACTTGTAAAAATATTTTAGCCCCAAAGTGTTGTTGGCACTAATTTGTTAGAAAACCGTTTAGAGGTAAAGTGAGTCTCTCTCCTGTCACCTGGGTGCTTTCCTCAGCCTTCCTTGGGTTCTGGTGTATTTTCCATACCGTGTGTTGTCAGTTCTATATTTTAGTATTTTTAATTGTCATAAAAAAAGAAAAATTGACAAAACTCTTATTTCTTACATAGATGGCTGGACAGAATGTAAGGCTAAAGGGGAATGCCAGAGGTCCAGAACAACTGTATCTTTATACAGTGCTGTGCATTCCTGCTGTTTGTGATTCTGGGGCAGAAGTGAGAGTCTGGGGAGGAAAGAACTTGCAGAAGGAACTTAGGAAAAGAAGAAATACTGAGCAGTAGGATACTCTGCAGGACTGTACTTTATGGGCTAGGTTAGGCAGAAGGGAAGTGAAAGTCCTACGAAGCAGAATCCTTTGTCCCTGAACCTGGAAACATGGATTGATGCTGCTATGTGGGTTTCTAGAATCACTTTTCTATCAGTTGTTACAACTTTGGAACACTTCTTTTGGAATGGTTAAATACAGAAAGAAATATAATGTTCTGACAATTTTGGCATTTACTAGGATTTTCAGGCAATATTCTTTAATGAGTCCAAAAGTTATGTGAATTTCTAAATAGAGCACTGTATACTAGTATGGAAGGAATTTTAAAATATAGTACTGTGTTAGTTAGAAAGTGATTTCACGTATTAAGTATATCCTCACATGTATCCAGTGAATAGTGAAGTCACAATTACTGATTTTCTAAGCTAGAAATTATCTTGGTGATGATTAGGTTTTAACCTTCTCTTTTTATGGATAAATTTTGGTTTTGGATAATGGGAATATTTGTTTTGTTTTATTTTAGAGAGAGAGAGAGAGAGTGTGTGCACATGGGGGAGAGGAGCAGAAGGAGAGAGAGAATCTTTTTTTTCTAAATTTTTATTTTGAGAGACAGAATTGGGGGAGAAGGGCAGAGAGAGAGGGAGAGAGAGAATTCCAAGCAGGCTCTGTGCTTTCAGTGCTAAGCCCAAAGCAGGGCTCGATCCCAAGAACCATGAGATCATGACCTGAGAGCCCAAAATCGAGTGTCAAAGCTTTACCAGCTGAGCCACTCAGGTGCCCAGTGAGAGACAGGGAGAGAGAGAAGGAGAGGGAGGGAGAGAATGTTAAGCAGGTTCTGCGCTCAGCATGGGGTCTGACTTGGGCCTTGATCCCACAATCCTGGGATCATGACCTGAGCTGAAATCAGGAGTTGGACGCTTAACTGACTAGGCCACCCAGGCACCTCTTGCACCTTTTTTATTGATAGGTTACAACCCTTTATTTTTTTTTTTATTAAGGTTTTTAAAAAATGTTTATTTTTGAGAGAGAGAGTGAGATTAGGGGAGGGGCAGAGAGAGAGGGAGACAGAATCTGAAGCAGGTTCTAGAGCTCCACAAAGACAGTATCTTCGACATGGGCTTGAACCCATGAACCGCAAGATAATGACCTGAGCCGAAGTTGGATGTTTAACTGACTGAGCCACCCTGGCGCCCCAGGACCCTTCATTTTTATTACTGTGCATTTACTTCATGGGTGAAAAGTTGTGGTAGACATTTTCTATAGCAGTGGTTTTTAAAATTTTTTGTCTGGGTGATCTGTATGAAAATTCTGAAAAATGATATTCTTCCTCGTACATTGATCCCACGTTTAAAATTCGCATCCTTGGGGTGCCTGGGTGGCTCATTCGGTTAAGCGTCCAACTTTGACTCAGGTCAGGATCTCGTGGTTAGTGAGTTTGAGCCCATGTCAGGCTCTGTACTGACAGCCCAGAGCCTGGAGCCTGCTTCACATTCTGTGTCTGCCTCTCTCGCTGCCCCTCTCCCGCTCACACTGTCTCTCAAAAATAAACATTATTAAAGTATAGCCTGGTGGCGCAGTTGAAGAAATGGATTAGCGTCGGACCAGCCAGGTCACGATCTCGCGGTCCGTGAGTTCGATTCCGAGCAGCGTCAGGCTGGGCTGATGGCTCAGAGCCTGGAGCTCGTTTCTTTGATTCTTCATGTCTCCTCTCTCTGTTATGCCTCCCGTTCATGCTGTCTCTCTGTCCCAAAAAATAAATAAACGTTGAAAAAAAAAATTTATAAAAAATAAATAAATAAATAAATAAATAAATAAACAAAAAAAAATAAAATTAGAATCCTCAGTTTTTTTTTAATATAAGTGGTTGTAAAGGATGTAACTTTAGGAGTATTGTAAATATGGTTATTTAAAAGTAAAACTTTTATCTCTTTATTTTTTAAAGTTTAATTTGAGAGAGAGAGAGAGAGACAGAGCACCCCAGTGGGGGAGGGGCAGAGAGAATGGGAAATGGAATCATAGGCAGGCTCCGCTGTCACTGCAGAGCCTGATGCAGGGCTCAAAGTGGTGAACTGGGAGATCATGACCTGAGCCGAAGTCAAGAGTCAGACGCTTAACCGACTGAGCCACTCAGGCACCCCAGGATCATCATAGTTTTTTAAAAAAATTAATATATAATGGACATATAACATGATGTAAGTTTAAAATTTTTTCTTTTTCAAGTGTAAGTATTGGGAAACTTTGCTTACATAAATAAGTTGATGGGGAGTGAAGGAATTTTGATAACAGTAATGTCACTCAGTTTTTTGACCTTGTTCTGAATTAAGAAATTAAGAAAGAAAGCATTTTGATTTATCCTCAAAAAGAAACTTAATGCTCTATTAGTTAACAAGTCCTTTCTTCAATTTTAATGAAAGCAAAGAATTGGAAGCCAAACACTCAAGAAGGATTTGGCCTTCTGGTCATTATCATTATACACTTTTTTGTCAAGACAGGTACCTTGATTTTGCCTTTCCTGCCCTAAACACTACACTGTTAGACCCTTTTTCTTCTGACTTTCCTTCCCCCATCTCTTCTTCTACCTTTAATAGCATTCCATTTAATTCCCTCCTTCTACCTTTCCTCCTCCAACACATTCACTATTCTTTCCATCCTACTTGCTCTTGAGAGCTTGCTTTCTCCTGTCATTGAGAGGCTCCTGTGAGGTGAAGTCTTCCTGTCCCTGTCCTGACCTATTGCCCCATCTGTTGCTGTCTTCCACTCCTGCCAAGACTTGCTCTCTGGCTCCCCCTATCCATCCATGGTGTGAAATCTCTCTCCAGCTTCCTGCCTCATCTCTCCCCTCTGTATATAAAATTTGTAAATTGAATTTTCTTACCTCCTTTATGAATGACTTTATTATACTTTGAAGGGACAACATCAGTGTTACGTTTAAAATCCTTACTTGAAAGGAAAGTAAATAACTAAGAAGGGCACTTGTGATGAGCACTGGGTGTTGTATGTAAGTGATGAATGACTAGAATCTATCCCTGAAACCAATATTGTGCTGTATGTTAACTAAAATTTAAATTAAGAAAAGGAAAGAAAAAGTAAATAAAGTATATTAACATCCTTACTACTGCTAAGCAGTGTCCTAAGTGTTTTGTGTAAACCAACTCATTTAATTTTCAGTCCTGTGAGTTGTTGCCCTACTCATTCTTCAGGCGAGGAAACTAAGGCACAGAGAAGTTGAGTAACTTGTGTAAAGTTACACAGTCATATTGGTAGAATTGGAATTTGGTCCTAAGTAGTCAGTCTTAAAATTGTGCACTTTAACTATACTCTCTTGCTTCTAAAAAGATAGTTGCTAGAATGAAAGTGTTAGCAATAGAAGTGCGTTGTCTGTTCGTAGTACTGTGGCCGTTTTAAGGATCCAGAGAAGTATAATTATGGATATAGAATATCCTTCAAGTTAAGTGGTATACAAGATTTCTCAGTAAAATGCAATGTAGTATACACACAAAGTATTACAATTTAAGTCACAGTTTTTATTCAAATGGATGATTCTGTTACTGAAACATTAAACTCTTATTCATGTACTTCTCTTTATTCCCACTGCATTATTTCAAGCTTTCCTTTCTCTTCCCTGGTTTATAATAGTAACTTTGTGAGATACATCCTAGGCTCTTCAGAATCAGTCTGCCATCTGTCTACATTTCCAGCCTTAGTTTGTAGTCCATTAATCATTAACAGAATCACTATGACCCTGTGTGTCAGCATAGTGATTTTAAGTCATTTTATCTCCTGGTCTTTAATGACTTTCCCCCCTCTTTCTCACACCGTTATCTGAATTCTTTTCCACTTCTTTTTCTGCTTAGCGAATCTCTGTGCATGTTGTGGCCCAATTCTAATGTCACTTTCTATGTGTAGCCTACTCATTTACACTTCGATTCCTCCTTGTCCTGTGTTCCGTGTAAGGCTGTTTCAGCGATAGTACCAATTATCACATTATGTTACAACTCCTGCACCATACACATTTGTCTTCCTACTCAGAGTTGCTTGAGTCTTAGATTGAGTCTTACTTATCATTGAAGTGTGGATTATTAGTGTGGGCTTGATACCTCTCTGGTTTGTTCAGAAATATTAATCGTTAATAAAAAAAAAAAAAAAGAGGGGCGCCTGGGGGGCTCAGTCAGTTGAGCATTGAGTTCGGCTCAGGTCATGATCTCATGGTTTGTGAGTTCGAGCCCCGCATCAGGCTCTGTGCTGTCAGCTTGGAGCATGGAGTCTGCTTCCGATTCTGTCTCTCTCTCTCTCTCTCTCTCTCTCTCTCTGCCCTTCTCCTGCTCGCACTCTCTCTCTCAAAAATAAATAAAACATTAAAAGAAATTTAAAAAAAAAAAGAAATATTAATTGTTGGATTGTGGTATAGTGGGAAATATTAGATAGTTGGATTCATATCCCAATTCTCTTATATCATATGTGTTACCATGAATGAGTTCCTGATGCTTTCTCTAATTTTCTTATCTCTAAAATGGGGAGAATGACCCATAGGATAATGTCTATAAATTAAAGTGTTAGACTAGTGCTAAACTGGCTTAGTGCTAATTTCTTTTTCTTTATCAGGTTTTTGTTGTTTTTGTTTGTTATTATCAGTTGGCTGTTAAAGACAGAAAAAAAGAATTTGTAGAATTGGTTAATTCAGTGGTTCAGTGATAGTATCAAGTTCTCTCTTTCTGTTCCTCTGTCCCCATTGGTTCTTTGACTAGCTCCCCCCCGCCCCCGCCCCAAGACTGCAAGATGGCTCGAAGCACTTCCAGATTTCCAGTCACTGGGTTGGGGTGGGACCTGGCTTTTCTGAAAGCATATGGCAGCCTGACACTTCGGAGAAAATTATGTTGTTATTTAAAAAAGAGGGGGGAGGATGGTTTTTGATAGGTAACTGACAGTGTCTGCCTTGGTATTTATAGGAAAGTAACAAACAGAAAGAAGAACAAATAAAAATGGTTAGTGCCTACTTCATAGAATCAATCAGGTACCGTGTGGAGGATGGGATGGTCTAATACAGTGAAGAATTGTCTCCCTCCAGGTGCCGATAGTGTCATTGAGATACATACAAGAAAGCATATATTCTAAACAATTCTCCTAAGGCAGTAGTGGTAGTGATAATAGCTGTTGTGGTAGTAGCTGTGGCAAAACTGTTTCAAATTCAATATAAAATGAAAACCCTAGCATTTTCTGCTTAGCATCTTTTTAATTTGGGGGCTTTTTAAATTGAGAATTGAACCCATATAAACAGAACACTTAGGTGATGCGTTTAACAATAATCCAAATTGTACTTTTTGTTTTGTTTCTCTTTTCAGTGAATGAGCTCATTCTCAAACAGAACCAAAGATTTGAGGAAAAGAGGTTCAAATTGGACCACTCAGTGAGTAGCACCGTATGTTTCAACTCTTATTACTATTTTTAATAAATTTCAATTTGTTGTTTCTGATGTTTTAAAATTAATTAAAAAAAATTTTTTTTTTTTTTTTGAGAGAAAGAGTGCGCAAGTGAGCAAGTGGCAGAGAGAGAGAGAGAGAAAGAGAGAATCTCAGGAGGGGCAGAGGGAGGGGGGAAGGGAGGGAGGGGGAGAGAGAGAGGGAGGGAGAGAGAGAGAGAGAGAAAGAAAGAAAGAAAGAAAGAAAGAAAGAAAGAAAGAAAGAAAGAAGGAAGCAGGGCTCACCTGAAACAGGACTCGAGCTCACCCGATGTGGGACTTGAACTCAAGAACCCTGTGAGATCATGACCTGAGCCAGAGTCACATGCTTAACAACTGAGCCACCCAGGTGCCATAATATTAATTACATATCAAAGCTTAGTATATCATTGATTTTTTTTTTAAAGGAGATTTGTTTTAAGTTTATTCTATTTAATAAAGAACTTTGTTAACTGCATTGTCCAAAATTTAGTGATTATCTTTTGAATGGTCTTGTGGGATCACACTGAGTCATGTTGGCTTGTAACACATGACATTTAGAGGATTATGTGGCAGGGTGAAACTGTGGTTGGTAATTTGGAAAAACTATTGGAAAATTCTGAATTTAAGAGGATCAGTCCCAAACTTATTGAGGGAAGTGAGCTTAAATTAATAACTTACCAAGTACAAAGTTGAAAATATGGCTAGACAGATAATTAAAATCCAAGCACTTATTTATTTATTTATAAAAGTTTATTTTACTTATTTTGAGGAGGGGGTGGGGCAGAGATTGGGAGAGAGAATCCCAAGCAGGGTCCACACTCCCAGTACAGAACCCAACACAGGGCTTTATCCCATGAACCATGAGATCATGACCTGGGCAGAAATCAAGAGTTGGACAGTCGACAGAGCCACCAAGGCATCCAAAATCCAAGCACTTATTTTGAAGGGAATTCTACTGTTAGCTGTGCCCACTTAATATTTGTCTTGAATATTACTTTTGTATCTGTTACCTAAATTCGTTTAAGGGAGAAGTAGTGTTTAATTTAGGATTAGAAGGCTAGGAGCCACTTGCTTGGAAGGAGTAGGTTAGAATATTAAAGTATATTTTTTATATCTATGTCATAAACATATTAGGAAGTAGCAGTTAAGCATTTGTTTTAGACTCTCTGAAACAATCTTCTTGAAGTTGCTATGGTTCTTTTCTTCATTTTTAGAATGGCCACAGGTGGCAAATATTTCAGGATTTGTTGGGAACTGACCAAGATAACCTTGATTTGGCTAATGTCAACCTCATGTTGGAATTACTAGTGCAGAAGAAGAAACAGCTGGAAGCAGTAAGTGTTAGCTGAACTTTAAAAAATTTTAACTGGTGTTCTTTATTGCATTGAGAAAGATCTAGAAATGCTTAAAAATAATAGGGTAGTGTCTGCCACTCAGTTCATTCAATTTTATTCTGTAAGAGCATGCTCAAGGTATCACTTCTAACAAATTCCCCCTTTCCAAGTAAAAGAAAAGACAGATGTCTTTTTTTTTTCTTTTTTAAAATATTTATTTATTTTGAGAGAGAGAGAGCGAGCGAGCGAGCATGAGTGGGGAAGAGGGGCAGAGAGAGAGAGGGACACAGAATCCCAAGCAGGCTCCATGCTCAGTGTGGAGCTCGATGTGGTGCTGGATCCCACCACGACCGTGAGATCATGACCTGAGCCAAAATCAAGAGTCAGATGCCACACTGACTGAGCCACCCAGGCGCCCTTCTTCTTTTTTTAAAAATTTGTTTACTTTGAGACAGCAAGCAGGGGAGGAGCAAAGAGAGTGGAAGAGAGAGAATCTTAAGCAGGCCCCTTGCTGTCAGCCCAGAGCCCAACGTGGGGCTCAGTCTCATGAACCATGAGATCATGACCTGAGTGGAAAGCAAGAGTCAGACGCTTAACTGATTGAGCCACCCAGGTGCCCCAAGACAGAGTTCTTATATACAACTTACTTGCACTGTCCAGTTTATATTAAGAAAAACTGAGTGATAAGAAAGACGTGAGAAAATACAGCTTCATTTTAATGGAAAACAATTATATTGGTCATTTTTTTCTAATATATTCCTTGCCATATCTTCCCTTCTTCACATATGAAATTTAGAAGAGAAAATAGATACTATTTTTATCTATATAAAATCCTTTCAGCAGGTGTCCGTTGGTGGCAGCTGTAGTCTATGGCTTAAATAATTTATAGAAAGATGGGAACTGGAACTATATATATGCTGTTTCATCTAATGAAAGTAAATAAATGTAAAATTGCATTTATTTTATGTAAACATAAGCAATGTAAAATGTGATTTTGCGTGTATTAGTCAAGAATGGAATATGATCCATTAGGAGCAACTCGCACCTTAGCAGGAGCAGAGTCCCCGTGACCTAGCTTAAATGAAAAGGAGGGGTAAAGTAAGTGAGTGAGTAGCTGACATATATGAAAAGGAAGAGTTTAACAACCAAAGATGGGGAAGATTGGAACCATAGCTTCTCTGGAGACTATAAGGAAATGAGATCAGTCACTTGAATGTTGTTGGATCTTTGGTGCTTTTCATGTCTGTTTCTTTGGGACAGGTCTGATTTCCTTTTCTCAGATTCTTATCACATGGTGGGTAATATAGTCACTTGTACTTTCTTCATTTGTATTTCTGTTCTGAAAGAAAAGGGGCTTTCCTTTCCAGTTTCGGTTTAAAAAATTCTGTGGGTGGATTCTTTATTAACATAGCTTAGATCTGGATTGCATCTGATAGAATGGGAGTCTTTTAGTAGGACGAGGGAATAGCTGAGGTTGTGCTTACCAGAATGGTTCTCCATTGCTGTGTCTTTTTGGGGCACAGGACTGGCAGGAATTTCTCCTGTGTTTTTAGAAGAGGAGGCTTTATCTTTTATTTATTTATTTTCTTTTAGTTTTATTGAGATATGATTGACATATAACACTGTATAAGCTTAAGGTATACAGCATAATGTCTTGACATACATGTATTGTGCAGTGATTACCACAGTAAGTTTAGTAACATCCATTATCTCATATAGATACAGGAGAAATAAAGAAGAGAAAAAAAAGAAAAAAAAAGGTTTTTTTTTGTGATGAAAATTTTTTAGGATTTACTCTTTTAGCAGTTTTCAAATACACCATACAGTGGTGTTGACTGTAGTCATCATGTTGTATATTACATCCTCAGTACTTATTTATCTTATAACTGGAAGTTTGTACCTATTGATCGCCTTCATCCAACCCCCTCCCCCCTGCCCTGCCATTTCTAGTTAGTACAAATCTGATTTCTATGAGTATGGTGGATTTTAAGATTCCACATGTAAGTGAGATCAATACAGTACTTGACTTTCTCTGTCAGACTTTCTTCACGTAGCATAATGCCCTCAAGGTCCATTCATGTTGTTGCAAGTGGTAATATCTCTTTTATTCTCATGGCTGACTAGTATTCCATTTTGTATATATAGCCATGTCTTTATCCATTCTGGTTGCAGACGCTTAGGATGTTTCCGTTTCTTGGCTATTGTAAATAATGCTGTAGTATACATGGGGGTTCAGATGCCTCTTCAGCATAGGGATTCATTTGTTTGGATAAATACTGAGAGGTAGGATTACTGAATCATATGGTAGTTCTGTTTCCAATTTTATTTTCCTTAAGAATGCCCAGAAGTTTCATTCAAGGTTCAGAGATGGTGGCCAGGCTGCCCATCTCATTGCCCAGCACCTCTGTCTCCAGCATTGGCTTTGTTTTGCTTTTGCTTTTGTTTTGAAAAGTGAGGGAGGATTCTTAACGTGAACTTCTTTTCAGAACTGCCCTCCCAAGGGTTTCCTTATGCCTCCAGCAATGAGGTGTTTGAATTGGTCCTTTGGTGCCTGTCAGCCACCTTGTGCAGAGAGGTTTCAGTAGCTTGCAGTGAGACTGGTCCTTCTGTATTTCAGGGATTTGCTCCATCACAGTTTTTATCTCCAGGTACCTGGGACACAGTGCCTTATATATCTGAAGGCCAAGTGCACCAGGGAAGCCATGTAGCCATGGTGCTGCCTGTGTACCTAGAAGCCTTCCAACAGATATGTGGTGAAAAGCCACATGACTATTTTCAATTTTTGGGAAGCCTCCATACTGTTGTTTGCCACAGTGGTTGTACCAGTTCACATTCTCACCACTAGTGCACGGGGGCTCCCTTTTCTTGACATCCTCACCAGCATTTGTTAGCTCTTCCCCTTTTGATAATAGCCATTGTATCAGGTATAAGGTGATATCTCATAATGCTTTTGATTTACATTTCCCTGACGATTTGTCAGTTATTGGCTGTCAGCGTAGAGCCTGATGTGGGGCTTGATCAAGACCATGACCTGAGCCAAAATTAAGTGTTGGACACTATTAATTTTTTGATTGGATGCCAGGAATTGTAAATTTCATTTTGTTTAGTGCTGGTTTTTTTCCTGTTACTTTATACACTCCTGAGCTTTGTTCTGACACAAGTTAAGTTACTTGGAAATAGTTGGATTCCTTTGAATCTTTTTTTTAAGCTTTATTAGGTGGTAACAGAGGAAATTTTTATTTTTTAATTTTTATTATTTTATTTTACTTTTTAAATTTACATCCAAATTAGTTAGTATATAGTGCAACAGTTGATTTCAGGAGGAGATTCCTTAATGCTCCTTACCCATTTAGCCCATCCTGTCTCCCATAACCCCTCCAGTAACCCTCTGTTTGTTCTCCATATTGAAGAGTCTCTTCTGTTTTGTCCCCCTCCCTGTTTTTATATTATTTTTGCTTCCCTTCCCTTACGTTCATCTGTTTTGTGTCTTAAAGTCCTCATATGAGTGAGGTCATATGATGTTTGTCTTTCTCTGACTAATTTTGCTTAGCATAATACTCTCTAGTTCCATCCATGTAGTTGCAGATGGCAAGATTTCATTCTTTTTTATTGCCGAGTAATACTCCATTGTATATATATATACCACATCTTCTTTATCCATTCATCCATTGATGGACACAGAGGATATTTTTATGTAGGCTAATTTTGCCCCCCCCCCACCAAAGCAAACTTTTTGAGTATTCATTTTGTTTATTTTTGCTTTGTAATCAGTATATTAAGGAAACATTCATACATTTCAAGAATTGCTTAATTCTGATATCCAGATTTAAGCTTGCGAACATGACTTTTAAACCTACAATTAAAGCTATTCATTGTAATTTGCTATACTAGCAACATTAAATTAGTTACTTGGAGCATTAGTTACATGGTTTAAAGTGACACCTTCCTATCTCATACATGGAAATTAACTTCTCCATGAATGTCTCCTCACTCTAAGTTTCCCTGCTGCCGAAGTCATTATTCTGAAGCTTATCATGGTCCAAAGAGAAGGGAAAAAAAGCTTAATCCGAACTGAGATATATATATGTGTGTATATATATTAAAAAAGAAAAAGATGGCACAGCAGAAGGGAATGCCATTGTACGAGTGCAGGCCCTCAAGCAGCAGTAAACTCCTTCTTTAGAAAGGTGTCCTTTCTATCACTGGAACCAGAGGCCAGATTACATAGCATACCTTTTTCAAGTAACTGTTCAGGCAATAGAATAAATGCAGAGGCATCATATTGAATCCCACTTAATATAACTACAGACAACACTTCTACAAATCAAGTTCTTTGATTACCAATTAATTACAAGTCTTACCTTCATAGCTTGGTCATACACTGAAGTCAATACATACACTTAGCATTTTAGTCTAATCTGTTTCATGTACATAGAACTGAAATCAGTTACAAGGTATGGCCTAACAAATGCTGGGGGGGGGGGGGGGTTAAAAAGTAGTTTTAACAAGTGCTAAACAGATTTACCTTGTACACTGAAGTCATCATACATACAGCAAAGTCAGAGCTTTTATATTTGAGTTTATTCTTCATTTAACTTAAAAAAAATTTTTTTTTTTTACATTTATTTATTTTTGAGAAACAGACAAAGATGAGCAGGGGAAGGGCAGAGAGAGAAGGAGACACAGAATCTGAAGCAGGCTCCAGGCTCTGAGCAAGCGGTCAGCACGGAGCCTGTTGTGGGGCTTGAACCCACAAACTTTGAGATCATGACCTGAGCTGAAGTCGGACGCTCAACCGACTGAGCCACCCAGGTGCCCCTCTTCATTTAACTTTTAAAACAGTACTATAGTTGAATATTAAAAACAACAGGAAGTAGTGAGCTATGATTGTGGTCCTTCACTTACTCGCTACTGTGTAGAGCATGCCAATAGTGTTATTCACCAGCCCTGTTAAGAGGTCTGACACTGAGCATCACCCCCAGGAGGACGTTCATCATCCTCATGTGCTTCTCCATTGTAATGGTGCCATCTTTCTGATTTGGATCAAAGTCCACCAGTTCTACCTGGTCCAATTCATCTGTCTCTACTACTTCCTTCCTCTCAGGTAGGAGTTTTTCCATTATAGAGAGTTTGTCAGGAGAGAAAAAGCCTTTCTCAGGAAAGTTTACCTTAAATGTGATGATTAGGTGACCTTTTTTCATATGGTCTATGATAAATTGGCATGCCTTCATTTAGCACACCCTTGATATCTCCATGCTTGACAATCTCACGTGGAATGAGAGGTGATGACGGTGGTTCAGTTGTCAAGAGTAGATATTGTCTTTTGAAAGCCACACAGTGCTTCAACCAGCTGTATATCCATACATATGAAAAAATCTCCTTGTCCAGTGAAAACAGCATGGTCCTTCTGATCTAAAACAGTGATGATATCTTCTGGTTCCAGTCTTGATTCTTGGTCTCCTTCACCATGGAATGTTATCTTCTGACCATCTTTCATGCCTTTGTCAATATGAACTTCTAGAATCTTCTTTTCTTGAACTATCATCCTCCCATTGCAGCTTTTACATCTGTCTTTAGGTCTGATCCCTTTCCCATGGTCCTAGCACTCTGTGCACACAGATTGAATTTGTTGAGCCATTCCAGGTCCCATCTGGTGAAAAAAAACTTTATTTCTTTCTGTTTAAAAAGTTTATTTTTTTATTTTGAGAGAGCCTGTGAGCAGGAGTGAGCAGGGGAGGGACAGAGAAAGAGGGAGAGAGAAAATTCCAAGCAGGTTCCATGCTGTCAGCATAGAGTCCAATCCCACGAACCTTGAGATCATGACGTGAGCCCCTTGAGACCATGAGCTGAGCCGAAATCCAGAGTTGGGAGCTCAACTGACTGAGCCACCCAGGTGCTCCCTATCTGACGGATTCTTACTTGCATCCCAGTATGTTGGTAATTGGGACAGCATTGTGCCACTCCTTTCCTACAACCTCAGCCTTCATATTTGTTGCAAATCACATTCTTTTGCAGAGCTAGTTTTCTATCTTGAGAAAGAGAAAGAGAGCGTGAGCAGGGGAGGGGCAGAGAGAGACTAGGAGAGACAGAGTCTCAAGCAGGCTCCATTTATAGATAATCGGTATAAAAAAGTCCTAAGAAGGGTGCAGAAGGGTATTTGTCATCATTGTTGGGGCACAGAGCCTTGATGAGTTTGTTCTGTGTGATAGTTCAACTTTTCAGGAATGTGTCTAAGGTTTAGTAAATACCACTTTGTTTTGCAGTGGTATTCACTTTAAAATTTTCATGATACTATGTTTTAAAAATTTATTCACTTGTGAGACATTAATTCAGTTATGTTAATCAGAATATCCTAATGTGATTGCTTCTTTATATTTGTTCTCCCTTGTCCTTATTGTCTTGACTTAAACATTTCATTGATCTGTTTTGCCTTTTACCCTTTAAAATATGAAGAACCCGGGGCGCCTGGGTGGCGCAGTCGGTTAAGCGTCCGACTTCAGCCAGGTCACGATCTCGCGGTCCGTGAGTTCGAGCCCCGCGTCGGGCTCTGGGCTGATAGCTCAGAGCCTGGAGCCTGTTTCCGATTCTGTGTCTCCCTCTCTCTCTGCCCCTCCCCCGTTCATGCTATGTCTCTCTCTGTCCCAAAAATAAATAAACGTTGAAAAAAAAAATTTAAAAAAAAAAAAAAAAAAAAAAAAAAAAAAAAAAAAAAAAAAAAAAAATAAAATATGAAGAACCCTCTCCTCATAGGGGATAGACTCTGGGAGTGGGTGGCCATACCTTTTTGTGATATGTATAATATTTAGGGATTTGTCAAATTTTGACTGGCTTATTCTTATCATCTGGGGACTTGGTTTTATTTATTTATTTTATTTTAGAGAGGCGGGGAGGGGGAGAGGGAGAGAGAATCTTAAGCAGGCTCCACACTCAATGCAGAGCTGGGTGCAAGGCTCAATCCCAAGACCCTGCGATCATGGCCGAAATCAAGTAGGTTGCCTTACTAACAGCCATCCAGACGTCCCTGGAGACTTGAGAAACAAAGGTTCTTGGAATATTTTCTAGAGTAACAGAATCAAATATAATTGTCCCTATTTGTTTTAACAAATGCCCCCAGACAATTCTGTTGCATAACAAGGTAAATGAAAGTTTTATTATTTTTTGTTATTTATTTTTGTTTGATTTGGAAATGATTTTCTGGTCTTTATTCTTCTTTTGAAATATATAAGAAATTAGAGTTACCTTTGTTAATAAACTATCTCATTCCATTTTTAGCTTTTGATGCTCTTTTTACATATATTCATTCATCAGTTTCACCTAGAATTCCTTGTTTCTTTGTGTGAATTTTAACAGTAACAGATAAATATTTGCAGTTTTATATTTTATACCCAGAAACTGTCAAGCTTATAATTATCTTTTATCTATTACATGTTTGTTTCACTTAACAATTCAGATTATTTACCTCTTCCTTCATTTGATTATATTAAAATATTTGTTCTTAAATGTCTGATTTTTGACTGAAATTCTCTATGGACATATATTCTCACATTTGTGTGAGTAGGTAATAGCCACAAATAGTAAGTGTCATTTCTAAAAGGTATGAATTCCTTCCCAAATATTATTCTGCCTTTGGAGAAAGTGATTTTAGTTTCCAGGAACTATGTTGAATCCACTATGATTTTTGTCTTGGTGTTCTCTTAGTTTGGTTGGAAGAGAATGCTAGGGCAGATAACAGAATTGCCATTTTATGTAAGCAGTTTTTTCAGTATGGTAGATGAGAAGTGTGATTTAAAACCCCTGTTTCTTAAAATGAGTTTTAGTTTTGGGGAAATGGCTTCTTTTTAAAAATGCCAGTTAGTAAATGAGAAAACTGATTAATAGAAGTTATAGGCTGATTTAAATGGATGCATGAAGTTGTTTCATACTGGTTATACTGCAGTGTTAAAGAAAACTTTGAACTCATAGTCATGTTTTTAAAAGAACAATTATAATTTTCTGTTATAGGAATCACATGCAGCCCAACTACAGATCCTTATGGAATTCCTCAAGGTTGCAAGAAGAAATAAGAGAGAGGTATATTATTTTGTATGTTTTACATAAAGTTTCATTTACTGTTGACTATTCCTATTATTGCCCATTTTTGTAAAGGCATTTCATGCTCAAAAGTTTATTTAAACATTTAAAAAAGGCTTTTGAGTTGTAGGCAGTTTCCTTATGCTTTGTTATTTTAACTTTTACCTTTAGAACTTGGTACTTTGTTATTATTTTTAAAACATTTTTATTCTTTTTTACTTTTTTTGGATACTTTATCATTATTTTTTAATGTTTATTTATTTTGAGAGAGCACGTGAGCAGGGGAGGGGCATAGAGAGAGGGAGAGAGAGAGAGTCCCAAGCAGGCTACGTGGGGCTCGATCCCATGAATCTTGAGATCGTGGCCTGGGCCAAGATCAAGAGTCGGATGCTTAACTGACTGAGCCTTCAGGTACCCCTACAAATTGGTACTTTAAAAATCCCTTTTTGGAGATGTACTGAAAAGTTTTCTGTAGGATTGAATACAGTGACTTACCTCAAAGCTCTAAAGAACAGAAAATAGAATTATCAAATGACACCCTGAAAAGAGAACTTTGGAACTTTAGATAATAAAGTCTTAGGTATTTTTCTTATGGCAGAAATGTATGCTGGGGGGAAAAACAGGCAAAAACATAGCTGCCTATTTGGAACGTGGAAAGTATGTCATGCAGGATAGCTAAAAGGTAATTTTTTATTAATAATCTTATAATCAGGATTTTTTTCATTTGACATTTATAAAATTCTTCAATCATTTCACACTTGTACAAAATATGGGAAAATCAAAGGCAAAATTCTGTATTATGGGGAGAATGCCAATATAACTTCAAAAAGGAGTTCTACATTTAAATTCTGAACTGTCCTCAAATCTCTTATATTTTTATTTTAAGATTTCTAAGTAAGATTTTTTTATTCACCTAGAAAATACATGTAATGTCTATTATGTGCTCAGTTCTAGGCCATCTGTTTTTGAAACTAAAGAGAGATGTTTTTATTGTGATGAAGTATGGTTAGTGTGTGTTGTCAGAACCTTACATTATCTTAGTTTGATGTTTCCTTGTTTCGATTATTCGTGATATCTGTTTTTACTTTTTCTTACTTTGTTCCAATTGGATTTTCCTGTACAATGATACTGTTGATAGCTAAATATTCTTTATCTGGTTTTTCACTTGTTTTCTTAAACTTAAGCTTTACTGAGCTAATAATTGTGGTTTTAATATGTCTATTAACAAAAACATTTTCATTATAAATTTAAAATTTATTCCTCTCTTTTTTCTTTTGGTGGCTACTTAAACTTTGATCTGCATAAGAATCACCTGAAGATAGTTAGAATCCAGGTTCTGGTTGGGGGTGTGTTTTGGAGCCCCATAGTCTGCATTTCTAGGAAGCTTCAGGTGATGATGTTGTTGGTCCTTGGACCACACGTTGTGTAGCAAAACTGAAAATTTTATGATATATGGAAATGAAATTATTACTTTAATATGTACACTCAATGTCTTTTTGCTATAGAAAATTCTTTGGAAAAGTGATAGTTTTTCATATCGCATACATACCTCCCAACTTTTTAAGACAGAATGCGAAATTGTTTTGCAGTAGTTTCATACATACACTTCTTTCTGCCTTGGACTTTAAACTCATTGAACATGGGATTAAGTACATGAGGAATTACGTGATAATGAATGAGTAAATGACTCAATTAAGTGTGCAGTCCAAACATGAGGGTGTCTGAGGGTTAAGTAAACGGCTGGTCATTATCTGTGTCATGAATTATTATTAAAAGTTTTTGTTTTAATGTTTATTTATTTTTGAGAAAGAGGCAAAGTGTGAGCCAGGGAGGGGCAGAGAGAGAGGGAGACACAGAATCCAAAGCAGGCTCCAGGCTCTGAGTTGTCAGCACAGAGCCTGGTGTGGGGCTCGAACTCACGAGCCATGAGATCATGACCTGAGCTGAAGTCAGACGCTTAACCTACTGAGTCACCCAGGAGTCCCTGTGTCCTGAATTATTTAAGGTTTTTATTAGACCCTGGTTTTTCACTGCTTTTCTAGGGGTCTGTTAATGCTTGCAACAAAATTGTTAGATTTTAAAATGTCTCAGGTAATAAAAGGATACAGTATATAACTCTAAAAAAACTGTGAAGATCCTGAGATTATTACCTTACTAGCAATCTCACAAGTTAGCCTGTTAACACTTTCATTTGTGCTGTCAGTTACAGGAGACTTCTGGGCTGGAGATAGAGGATTTTATTGTGGGCACATCTGGTGCACCTGCTTCATGTTTATATGTTTTCTCTGAACCTCAAGTCTCACCAGGGTGTCGTAGAGATGTGCTTAGGCGAATGCTGCACATACAGTGTATTTATGTAACAACAAAGGAACCCCGAGTTTGAGAAATCCCAGGCTTTTAAAGGGGTCTCTGGCAAACGTATCTAGTCTTTGCCCTGCAGGGAGATATTATTTTTATCATATTGATCAGAAAATAAATCTGCCCTCTGTCACGGGCAAATTCAGTATTTCTGTGTTTGCTGTAGAAACATCCTTGAAAAGATAATTTGGAACTAAAGCTATGACAGGATGTTCAGAAATGGGAGAGAACAACAGAAAATTATTTTCTAGTAAATAATTCATCCTTGTGATTGTAATTTTTCCTCTCTCGGATGTGGTGGTTGAGGGCCTCTAATAGTACCTTCTAGGATACCACTTTTGATCCATAGCTCTTAGTATCTGTGTTTCTGTGTTTTTGCAATTAAATGTCTGGGTTAATTGTACTGTAGAATTTTATGGTTTGACTTTAGATTGATCTTTGTGATTGAATGATTTCTTTTTCCATTTTGAACCATATTTTCTTACTGTGGGCAATTTAACTATGAAGTGCACTAGTTCTAAGTACTTCTGGATATTGATATCTATTTTGTGCATTGATTATATTGTTATTACTACATTTTGGTTTTCTTTGTTTGTTGTTGTTGTGCCCATGCTTTGAATATTTCAGGTTTAATTATGTAAGAGACACTGAGGAGCAAGGTTAACAAAGTTTAAAACATTTGAAAATTTAGTGCTATGTCAATAGACTTTAAAAATTTATCAGTTACTTTGATTGAATTTCATAAATTTCTCCATAATTGGAGTCAGGTACCAGTATTGATATGTAATCATAAGAAACTTTAGTCTAGGAATTTAGTTGATTAATTTAGTACCCACAGAATGAAGTGATTATATTTTTTCACATATATTATGAAGTATATTTGCATACTTAATCCTCAAAATGAATATCGTTGTTAGAGGTCTTATGTCCTGTTGTGTAATTTATACTTGAACTTATTCAATCAAAGTATAGGCTGACCAGGCGGCAAAGTACTACTTTTGAATTTATTTTCCTAAGATTAACATTCAGACTTTGAAAATTAACTTTGTGATCTTATACTTAACTTTTATTGGGGTCATGATGCACGTTGGTTTAGATATTTATATATACCAATCTAAGAAGTTAAATCTGCTTTTCAGATTTAACATACTTATTTGCTTCAATATCACATCTTGCTAGTACTTTAGGGCTATTAGAATCCTACATTTAATTTTTCGTTTTTGAGTTAATTTTCCCTACTGACTCTTTTTCAGATATTAAGAGGACACATAGTAGGCGTTTGCATTTGTTACCTATTGCTGTGTAACAAGTTACCATCAAATTTAATGGCTTGAAACATTAAACATTTAATATCTTGGGTCAGGAATCATGGTGCAATGTAGCTGAGTGCCTTGGCTCAGGGTTTCTAGCAAGCTACTGTCAAGGTGTTGGCCAGGGTAGCAGTTACCTCAGAGTTCGCCTGGGATAGGAATCCTTCCAGGCTCACCCATTGGCTGTTGGAAAGGGATACCAATACCATGGCAAATGGACTTCTCCATTGGTTGGTTACTACATGGCTGCTGGCTTCTCTCAGAGGGAGCAAGTGAGAAGGAAAGAATGTTTTGAAGACAGCAGTCACTCCAATTTGGAAGTTACATTCCAGCACATGTACTATCTTCTGGTCATTAGAAGCAAATCATTAGGTCCAACCCACACCAGGAGAGGTAATTAACACAAGGGTGTGAATACTACTAAGTGGGAATCTTTGGAGGCTATCTTAGATTCTGCCTACCACAGCATTTGATAAGTATAAATATTTAAAGTTTTTATTTATTTTTAGAGAGAGAGGAATGTGAATGCATATGAGTGAGGGGGAGGGGCAGAGAGAGAGAGAATCCCAAGCAGGGTCTGCTCTGTCAGCAAAGACCCGAGGTGGGGCTCGCTCTCACAAACTGTGAGATCATGACCTGAGCTGAAGTCAGAAGTTGGATGCTGAACGACTGAGCCACCCAGGTGCCCCAATAAGTAAATATATTTAAATGAACATGTTATTCTTTCTTCATGGTCAGATGGAACAAAAGGGCCCTGGGTTTAAGGTAAAAGTCAAATTTGTACCAGCATTTAAATGATTGCCTTATATTTCATTTGACTTAGTTTTAACTTTTGGGGGCACCTGGGTGGCTCAGTCAATTAAGCATCTGACTTCAGCTCAGGTCATGATCTCATGGTTCATGGGTTTCAGCCCTGCATTGGACTCCCTGCTGTCAGGGCAGAGTCTGCTGTGGATCCTCTGTCCCCTTTTCTCTCTGCTCCTCCCCTGCTCACACACTCAGGCGCTCTCTCTCTCTCTCTCTCAAAAATAAACATTAAAAATATTTTAAAAAATTCAAAATGTGTTTCTGGACATTTGTGGTACCTGTTTAATTTACTGAAATAGGACAGCTTTTTTTTTTCATTCTTTTTTTTTTTTTAAATGTTTATTTTGAGAGAGAGAGAGAGAGCGCGCGAGCGAGTGAGCAAGTGAGCAAGCACAGGCTGGGGAAGGGCAGAGAGAGAGGGGGAGGGAGAATCCCAAGCAGGCTCTGCACTGTCAGTGCAGAACCCAATGTGGGGCTTGATCCCATGAACTCTGAGATCATGACCTGATCCGAAATCGAGTCGGA